ATGGTACAAATCTCAGAATTGCAAACGGGCTGTGTTCCGTTCGGGTGTGTGTAGTCAGAGTCCAGCACCCAGCTTCCATTCTCCACGCCTCCAGTAGGAAACAAGCCATTTTGGTCTAGGCTGATAGGTTTCAGTTATTTCCTCTGGGTTTTGCTGCTAAACTGTGTGCTCCCGTTGTAGATTCCTCCAGACAGGCTCTGGCTGCTCCCCTTCTGAACCTACCCCCAAAGAAAAAGTAAGTGCTTTGCTTCTCAGAGCAACCCCCAGTTTTCCTTAATGGATTTGCATGGCCCTGGAGTCTTGGTACCAATGACGTTCTGTCAATCCTCACTTTAGAAATGCAGACTATTATGAAAAGATCTCTGACCCGCTGGATCTCGCCACGATTGAGAAACAGATCTTGACTGGCTACTATAAGACAGTGGAAGCTTTTGATGGGGACATGCTGAAGGTCTTCCGGAATGCAGAGGTGAGGCTCTTGCTAGCCCTAAGTCTGCTCAATTTAACTGCCAAAGCCACTAAAATTGCATAAACAATGGGGACATATCCTTATTTAATACATTTACTGACAAAGCTTCATATAGCAATGAAAGAGGGAAAATATTTTGAGGGAGAGAACCTCTGATAGTCCCTTTCTTTTCCTTAGATCAAACAAACAGAAAATGAATAACCTGCATGAGTTACTTAAAGATATTTACTTCAAGATATAATAAAGCTATTTCAGTTCTTTCTGAGGGAAATGCATTGGTTTTCAGTGTCATGTGGGTGTGTGTGAGATACAGGGACCTGCTGTTCAGCGTAAGGAGGTAGACGGACAGGCCTGTACTGTATTGGTGGATACAGCTTTAGCAAAGACACCTCTAAGGGTATAAACAGCCAGGAAGACTGCTCCAAAAGGATGGATCATGCCAAAAATATGAAGGTTTTTTTGTTTCTTTGTTTTTGCAGAAGTATTATGGCAGAAAGTCTCCAACTGGGCGCGACGTGTGCCGGCTGCGAAAAGCCTATTACAACGCTCGCCACGAGGCCGCTGCGCAGATCGACGAAATCGTGGGAGAAACGGC